TTGGTTATAGTTAGTAACAGTAAAGTTTTAAAGCTAGGTCAGTAACTACATAATAGTTAACATATGTAGAGTGACGCTGTTTCGCTCTTGCGTTGGTGGACTGGACCTTCGAAAAAGACGATCTGGTCGAAACTTTGGGCCGTTAGTGAAGTTTAGACTTAAAGACCTCGATGGCAGAAGGAAACCATTAAACTAGCAACTGTGCCAAGGTTTTTCTTAGATACTCTTGAATAGAATTACATACTGTAGGTAGGGCTTACAGGTGTGTGTCAGGAGCCCATTGAGGTTGCTACGCGCGAGAACCAACCGATTTCCGCCGCGCGCGACGAAGTGTGAATGCCGCGCACGGGTAGCACGACTCATCGCGCCGCTTCCGGCTCACAGGAGAGATCTTTCAGGGCATTTTTTGAAGTGGTTTTCTGCATTTTGTAGGGGCTCGTGCGAGCAACACGGAACCCCGAGAATAGATGTCATTGTCGTGTTTTGCGGCAATTTGGAGGCGCCAACATAAATTGCAAAAATTTGTCATCACGGAGGATCGAACTTTGGACCATTTCTTCCCCGCTGTTTTGACATTCCTGGGGGCGTTCAGGAAAAATGGAACCATGGTTCTCACATGAGCCTCTACAACATTCAGAAAACCATTTTGAAAAACGCTCCATGTCCTGGAAGACTTTCCTTGTCAGTGCGAACGATGTTTCCTGAATATGTAACACATTATATTAATAACCGTCCAATAGACCGCTGTGAGGAAAATTGCTCGATGAGTTGCTAAGCGGGTCTTTTCCGCGGCGGTACGCTTTCGGTTTGCCATGTTAGCTTGAACTCTCAGAAAACAAAGCGTTATTCAAAATTTGCTACTGGACATATTTGTTTCTTCTTCCTGATGTTTTTCTTGACCCGTTGATTCCTAATGATTTCTTTCAGTCTGCTCGATCGCGTTCTAGACGGTTACGAGAAAGAAGAAGCTAAACGGATTCCGCTCGTCACGCCAGGCCCAGACCAGTACAGGTAAGTAGCGCCTTTATGGAAGGATTCATCTTTTCAACGACGAAAGAGCCAAGTTCCAAGTCATTTTGGTTTCTTCTGAAGAAAGAGTGAGCCCGTATCAGCAACTGCTTTTTGATGTCAATGTAGTTGTGGATATGGGTTATACAATTTCTGGAGTCCCATTATTTTGGAGTTCCAACAGTGTACGGCTTTTTTACAGGTTCGCCGAACCTGATTCGGAGGAAAACATCTCTTTCGAAGACTACACGTCAAGTAGCGGGATTCCTGTTGTGAAGAATGGCACCGTTCTGAAGCTTGTCGAACGATTGACATATCATCAGTCAGTACAATTATT